TTCGTGGTCTTGCAACATTTTTTTTATTTTTATTTGCCGCATCATTTAATTCTTCAGGTTCCTCCACTTCATTTTGAACTTCATATATAACTCTTTGAGCTCCTTGAACACATCTTTTTTTGACAGAACATTTTTTCGATCTCAGGTTCAAAAATGAGATAATGGTTTCTTGGGACTTATATAAGTCATGCAACTGCACAACACCTAAAAAAGGTAAACAAAAATAACGAATAAATCCATAAAATAATAATCAAAATAATAAAGAAACAAATTAATGATATAAAAAAACTTTTAAAAACACCAATTGTCAATCCCCAACAATGGCGCCAAAAATTTGATCGCATGTAAATATATAGTGATATGTCATGCAAACCTTTGCAACTATACACAATCGATGCAAGTAATATATTAACGAGTGAGTATCGTATCCGTAGGGATTGGGGGCTTTTAAAAGATTGCTACAACTAGGACTATGTGTCACTAACTAATCCTAAGTATCTGAGTCTAATGTTATAAACAAGGAAAATATTCAGTGGCAAATGATATGAACAAATGGAAAAGGTTTGCTGAGGCAAGAAAAGTGTGAAGTGAAGTAAGTAGATAAATTTTGTCGTGGCCAGAAAAATATGCAATAGGAAACAAATAAAAGATGCTAAGGTAAAATTGTCAAAACTCTAGAAATATACTGGCAACCTCACTCAGTCAGACTTCTAACGGAGCACTTGGTTTGGATTTGCTATGACAAGAAATTATTTTATGTCTAGGATGATCTTAATACACTATGCCTATGTTTCCAAAAAGGATGTACTAAAGTGTTCCTAAGAGTATCTCTAACACAAAACCTGACAAACTACTGCTACGACAATACTACTCAGCGTAAACTACAACCCTTGATTTGTCAAATTATTGTTACGACAATGCTCCTTAGCATAAACTATAACGCTAGCCTATCTACTCAAGCATTTATCCTTCTTAGTCGAATAAAACTCTCTTCTTGTATCTAAGGAGAATTAGAACCTCACAATCCCATATTAGTTCTCTTGTTCACGTAGATCTAACCTATCTCTCTCGATATTAGGTATCAACTCCTAGAAAAATGGCAATCTTTCAAAAGCACTTACAAAGACTATGAATGTTTTGCCGAGGCATCAGGCAATCTTTCAAAAGCTCTTACAATGCTAAGGCAAAAGATTGAAACAACGAACAAAACAACATTTAACAAAAACATATATTTACTCATCCATTAACAATAAAATAAAATATCATCCAAGCATTTCCAACACCAAATAAAACAATTTATGGTATGGTAAACATCATCCCAAAAATATTCATTAAGTGCAAGCCCTTAGAAAAATAAGAAATAAAGAACAAGGGAAGAAAAACTCCCAGAACAGAGCTCTGCTGTTACATCAGACCACCACCAAGATTACTCTAGCGCACCAGCCTTTCTCGAGGGCCTAGCCGCTACTCCGACGAAGCTTGGCTATGGAGTGCACCAAGGACGGACTAGAGGGGGACGGTGGAAAAGAAAAATATACGACTCCTTTCTCTAAAACCTTTTTCTACGGTATTTTCTCTCCTCTTTAGGGTGGTATAATGATGTATTTATAGTGGGAATTTCTAGGCTTTAGTGTCCTTGTAAATTCCCTAAATATCCTTGGTGACATAACCATTGTGTGAATAATATAGCAGCTGGTAGTGGTCCCAAATTCTTTAGTAGGGGCATAGCTTCACGTGAAGTGTATTGGACAGTTGGCCAAGTGACGTCAGCAGTTTCGTCTTGTGATGCGTTAGACTTGTGAGATAAAAAACTCGCATTGACAAGAAAATTTATTCCTCACTGTCCTCATTTTGTTTTCTACTGGTCATAGCAAATTAATTTGTTTTGGAAAATAAATTCTTTCTCAATCATTTCCTGCATCATCACAACCAGTAAACAACCCTTCTCCTAAGCAGCATCAGTTTAGTTTAATAAACTTTTCCTTGGCAAAACTTATCCACCACATGCAAATATGTCCTAAATGCAACTATATACAGCTAAAATGCTATGTCAATGACTTTTAGACAATCAATAACTTAAGTAAAAAGACCTAAAATATAGTCTTTTTACGGAGTTATCACCTACGCATGAAAATTATCACACACTAAGTATAACTTTGTGAGGCAGTAATAAGCTAAGGTGAGATAAAACATGAAAATATCATAAATATAAATAAAATAATTTAAATAAAACATTAAACTTGCAAACTGACTTATTCAAGCCAAATTCTTGATCGTAACCTAAAATTCATCTTAATTCATGATTTCATAAAGATCATGATAAACAATATCATATAAAATAATCATATCATGCTTTCTGTTAACTTGACATCATTCACAACTTTCGTATTCATTTTCATAACCCAATCCATATTTATGAGAACACAAGGTACGTGAGTATAACATAAGGTGCGCACTAGGCACATCATGATGCCAATCTTAACTGAAACATATAATGCACTCCAAGCGCAATCATAACATGAGCACCAAACGTTGCAGATCATAATATACACGAAAATACCATAACTTAACTGGGAAATACTTAACTTAATGGCATGCCAAATGTACCTACGACTCTCAATGCAACATATAATGGGCTTATATATCATAATAGAATTAATTAATCAACGTTTGAAAATCATAAATCTTAAAAATTCATCATCAAAAAAATCGTACTTGGACAGTTCATACCCTAAATCACTCATAAAACTTATTGAAAATATTATAAAAATCATCAATAATTAAAAGTTATAAATCATACTTGAAAATAAAATGAGTTGACTTATTGCAAGTCGTCATCGATCACAATAATTAAATAAATAAAAAGCACTTACCTTTGCCTCACTACTGAACTTTTATATATTAGTTCTTTACTCACGTGTTTTTTCCTTTCCTTTCGGATCGCTTAGATCACTAGGTTTATCATGATCTGACAACATCATATAATAACATAAAATATTCAATTATATGTTAGTATCAAACTAACATAATCTAAATTTAATAAAATAAATATCTATAAAAATAAAATCGATATCAAGCTAAATCATATTTTTCATCATTTATCCTTCAAATTTTACTAATATCATAATCAAGACACTAATTATGAATTTTTTTATATAATTCACCTTAACTTTTTCATTAAATTCATAATAGCCCTTCGCTATTATTATCACTTCACATTAAATACTGAAAAAAAATCTAGCACCTTAAAAAATACTCAAATCTATACTTTAACATTAAAAAACTTGCAATTTCATCTTAAACTTTATAGAGATTTTTCAATTTCAACCACTTATTTTAATAAGCTTTCAAATTTCTTCGAACTTGTAATCAAACTCTAAAAATCAGCATATCAATAAAATTTCCAGCATAGTAATATTTTTACTCAAATGATACTTCACATTTAATAACTTGCAATCAAATCCCCATATTCCAAAGATTTTTTGAATTCTACCCCAAAGTTGACCAAATTTGCAATTTGGTTCCAACAAATTTTTAACTTATATTTCCAACATTTCAAATATTAAAATTCACCCTTGAGTACTTTAACTATCACATTTATGCAATATTATCCCATAATTTTCAAAACTTGTAAATTAGCCCTTCTACTTTCTCAAGGCTCCAAATTGATCGAAATTAATCTCCAAAACATATAGAACACTTTGAATACTAATTCTAGACCATAGGAAATTTTACAAAAAAATTTCCCTATTTTTTCTTGTATGGCCAAATACCCCTAGTACAATAAAGCTTGATTTCCAGTCAATTTCAAGCATGAATTCAACTTCTCACAACAAATTCATGTTGTTCTAACCATTATAATATCAATTTGAACCAAAATCAATCAATCTCAATAAACCCTAGAAATGGTCGAACACTATATAAGCATGTACAAAAACTTTAATTATCATACATGCCTTAGAATTAATCTCCAACCTCAAAAACATAAAAATCCTTAATCAATTCTTCAAAATGACAAAACTCTACATAAACCCTAATTTTCAATCTCAACACACAAGCATCTTCACCACGTAATATTTATACCAAATGATAGAGAATTTCATGTAATTTAATTCTCTATCTATTAGCTTGATCCAAAAACTAATCGTGTAGCTTTAAAAATCAAAATGAAATTCTTATCTTAGCAACAATGGTGGTTTCGGACAAGAGAGAGAACAAGCTGAAAATATGCTAATTTTCTTGATTATTCTAGTGTTAATTAGCCTTAACACTTGTCTTAATAATATAATTGAATGTTAAATTCAATTAATGAGAAATCCAAAATTGTCATTAATGAACCTTGATAATCACCAAATGTCATTTCCTTATATCCCATTAGTCAAATATGAATCAACTTAGCTTTGACTTTCTATTTTGGCCATGCAATTTTCAAAAACTACATTTTAGTCACTAAAATTCTACTATTCGGCCAAATCTGAAAAATTACATTGATCTCAGCCAAATTTATCTGATCTAAAATATAGAAATGATATTTCCAACCATTATCTAACATCCTTCAAATTTTCGTAAAAATTCGGTTTGATCATTCGATTTCTATACCGAAATTTAACGCTTTATAGATTTTAACACAAATCTTGTACCGAAAATCTGACTACCAAGAAAATTCTTATTTTAGGACCAAGTGTTCATTTACGGTATAAAATATATAACTTTTTAAAATTTCATTTTTGGTCCTTGAACTTTCCAAAGTTTATACTTTAGCCACCAAATTTTTAAAACTTACATTTTAGTTACTATCCAAAATTTGGGACATTACAGTTCTAAGTAATTATTAGAAGCTAATTTAATGGTAAACTTTTAGGTATTATAGCATTCAAGAAAAACACGCCTATAGATGGTTGCAACCAAGTACACTCCCTGAAGAAATCTCTCATCTTTCTTTTGATTGTATCTTTTCTTACTTGAAGTCATCACCATATCAACAAACTAAACCTTACAGCTTCAGAGTTAGTTTCATGGTGATCCTGCATATTACAGAAAACATATAGCTAACAATGACTGACTTTAATGTTTATGATCCATGTTCTCTGCACCCAATTTATGATGTACCAAACAGTCTTCAGTTTAATTACAATGAATATCAGGCATGAAAAATGAAATATTTTATTTTTAAGAATAAATACAACTAAGAACCAAACTTAGCATAGACCCGTACCTTTTTTTTGGTCCCGCATACGAGTATGATGGCTTTTAATCATCTTCTTGTGTTTGACAATTCACAAAATTTTATCTCAGAGAAAAAAAGATACAACTATTTCAACAAATATTTTAATTTTAATTTTTATGACAATAAATATCATATTTAACTAGAGAAAAGCAACGAAAAATCCATACAACTATAAAATAGTCAGGAAAATGTTACAACAAAATTATATAGTGATGAAATAAGCAAGTAACTAAACAAATCCAAACTATCAAAATTGATTATTTAATGGCCCGAAGCTAACATAAATTCTAGTTGATAGAAAGGTCTGCTGCTTGTTTGATTTGTGTCCATCTTGATTTTGCAGTTGAAGTTTGAATTCCGAAGAGAGCCTAGTACATGAGAGCAAATGAGTGAGAAAAAAAGAGTAAATTAGTTTATTAATTTTCACCATCTATGTGTGATATATAGGACAAGCATACTCATTACTTACCATCTTTATCAAACATGTTCGATGCTATTTACAAACCTTTGTTTGATTTTCTTCAGCTCAACCACAACGTCCTTCATATCTTTTCTTTTTTCTGGTGTCTCAGTTGAACAACCCAAAGCTAAGTCCATGATGGATGCAATACAATTTGCTTTAACAACAAAGTAGTCGTCCTCTCTTCTTAATAAATCAGCATCTGCAATATCTATCATTCCTTTAGCCAACGAGCTTTCCACCCGATCCCTCATATTCATTTCATCAGTGAAAACTTCATCAGTTGGCCTTTTCTTTGTGAACGTTTCTATTAGGACAATCCCATAACTATAAATGTCACATTTTATAGAAACACGTCCTGCTGATCCGAATTCTGCTTTTCAAGCATAATCAAAGAGTTGTTAATTCTTAATTATTTCTGAAATGCCTTATCCAATTATATATACACATACACATGAAAGAATATAAAAGGGAGAAAAAGGAAAAATGATGATAAAAAAACTGAAATTCACCTGGAGCCATATAACCGATAGTTGCAAGAGTCATGGTATGTTTCATTACATCACCTTCTCCCAACAATTTGGCAATGCCAAAATCTCCCACATGTGCAACCATGTCATCATCAAGTAGAATATTACTCGGTTTTAGGTCGCAATGAATTACTGGTGTTGCATGTCCAGTATGGAGATGTTCTAGAGCTGTTGCAACATCAATCATTATGTTCATCCTTTGTAAGATATCAAGAGAATAGTTTTCAGAATGTAACCAATTCTCAAGGCTTCCATTAGACATGAAATCAAGCACCAAGGCTTTAAACTCGACATTAGAGCAGCAAGTAATGATCTTGACAAGATTCCGATGAACTATATTACGCAATGCTTCACATTCAATGTCAAAGCTCCTAAATGCTCCTTCTATCTGCAAATTGAAGACCTTAATTGCTACTTCCATTCCATCTGAAAGTCTTCCTCTATATACATATCCGAAACTCCCTGAACCAAGCAAATTGCTTTCCCCAAATCCATCGGTTGCTTGTGAAAGTTCAGCTTGTGAAATTCTTCTCCAATTTTTCAAAGACGGTGAATCATCCTTGACTGGTAGAGTTGTACTCTTTCTTTGGCGTTTTCTGTACATAATAGTTAAGACTATTAGTACAATGACAATCCCAAATGCAGGTAAACCATACCTTAAAGCATGCACTATCATCATCTTGCAGTTTTTGGAGATGTTTTTCTTGCAAGGTGGGACTAGCAATCTTGGTGGACCACAAAGTGCAAAATTGTTCATGAATGACGTGCTGGAAAAGTTTGGAAAGCATCCATTGCTTGGAATTTCTCCTTCAAGTCTATTGGAAGAAACATTAAGATAATTTAGAAATTGAAGTTTTTCCAAAGATTTGGGGATGGCTCCGGAGAGATTGTTATGGCTTAAATCCAAGAGTCCCAAACTAATCAAACCACCAAATGATTCAGGGATATGACCATGTAACTTATTATTTGATAAGTCTAATGAAAGCAGTGTTAGAAGACCCCCAATTGAAGATGAGATATCACATGTGAGCAGATTCCTTGATAAATTCAATTCCACCAGACTCCTCAAATCTCCAACATCTAGAGCATGGGAATTGTTGAGGTAATTTGATGATAAATCTAACTCTAAGATATCTTTAAGATTCCACAAAGTTGAAGGTATTGGAGAAGTCAATTTGTTGGAAGCCAAGTCAAGATACCTCAAAGAAGTCAAATTACCAAAACATGTGGGTACAGGTCCTTGCAACTCATTCAGCGATAAAAGCAAGATGTATAATCTCTCCAAACCACATATGCTTTCTGAGACGGGACCTCTTAATTTATTAGAGCCAAGGTACAAACCTTGGAGATTTCTCAGCCCTCCTATTGATGTGGGAACAGATCCACAGAATTCATTGTAGTTAAGTGCCAAAACCAACATGTTACTTAAATTACCTATTTCCATTGGAATATTACCTTTAAGCTCACATCCTGAAGCGTAGAAGTATTGAAGGGATTTTGACAGGTTTCCAATGTAAGAAGGAAGAACTCCTTTCAATGGATTTCCCGAAACTTCTATAAGTGTCAAATTCCTACAATTAGCCAAAGAAGAAAGAAATGTCAAGCCATGAGTAGCAGATTCTGTGGTCAAATTATTGTCATTGACTTGGAACCATTCAAGGAGTCTTAAGTGGCCAAGCGTATCTGGAATTGGACCAGAGAAGAAATTATTGTTCAAGGCTAGAAGCTTGAGCATGGAAGCATTGGAGATAGAGGTGGGAATGTTTCCGCTGAGTTTATTTCCCCACAAAACAAGCTTCTCGAGCTTTGGAGCGTTGGTCATGGGAGGCAAGTTTCCTGTTAAAACTGCATCTTTTAGTATATATAAATATCATGTGATTCAAACTAAACACTGAAATCCTAGCAAATCTTTACGTTACTTTTTCAGCTTAAAAATTCATTGAATGCCAAATTTACAAAATATTTACATAACCACTTTTATTTATTTTGCGAAACTTTTTCAAATAAAAATAAAATTTATGCTCTAAGAAATGCAATCAAACTTCCCCAAGGTTTAATAGAAATTACAGTTAATATAATATATCTTAAATATAAAATATTTTTAAAAAATGCCAATAATGATAATTATATTTTCTTTTTACGTTTATTTTATTTTAAATTTTTTTAAATAAATATATGTCAAATATTTTAAACTTAGTTTTAATTTATTAATTTTAAGCTTAATCATTTTCTTTTTTATATTTTAATCAGTTTTCTCCGTTAAAACCTTCTAGAATGTATTATACATAGCTTATCATTAATTTATTTATAGTGCTTTTTACCCATATATTATGAATTAATAGTTCCTATGTCATTAATTGGTTACAATGTATTTTCATTTACTATTATAGTCATCTACTTTAATTTTTTAAATGCATTGATATATTATCAATCAATTATGAATTAGGGTAAAGTATAGAAATGGTCCATTGATCATAGGATAATGTTTTGTTGAGTTCCCCGGCTATTAAAAGCTACAAATGGTCCCCTAATAATAAGACATTATTTTGTTGAGTCTATCGACTATTAAAAGTTAAAAATGATCATCTAACTACTCATTATGTTCCAAACTGGTCATTTTTCATTAAAAATTGACGATAACTTGAATTTTACGTTAACATTCTAACTGGATATGATAAAATCTGATTTCAGAATCTTAAACGATTATCATATCTCTGTCAGCATGATAACGTCCAACTTAAACTACCGTCAATTTTTAACAAAAAATGACGAGTTTGGAACATAATGAATAGTCGGTGATCATTTTGTAACTTTTAATAGTCGTGAGACTCAACAAATCAATATCTTATAGTCAAAGAACCATTTTGTAACTTTTAATAGTTGAAGGCTCAACAAAACAACATCCTACAGTCGAAGGACCATTTGTGTACTTTACCCTATGAATTATTATATTGATTTTAAATATTTAGAAGATATTTACATCTTTTCATTTTGATACTTTTGGTGTCTACACTTACGTATGACGAGTGACGACGACATATATGACCAAAAAGGAAGAAATAAATTAAAGTAAATGCTATTGAACTTGGGAAAGTATTAAAAAGAAAACAACATACCTTGTAAAATGTTGTCATTTAGAGATATATTTTGGAGCATGGTTGAATTCCAAATATTTGTTGGAATGATCCCTCTGAATTTATTAGAGCCTAATGACAAAACTCGAAGGTTATAACATTCATTTATGCTTGGTGGAAGAGAACCTGATAATTCATTTGAAACCAAATAAAGCTCTTCAAGTTTGGGAAGAGGGTGACACAGATCATCAGGCAGAGTTCTTGATAGACTATTGTTAGAGAGAGAAATAATCTTGAGAGAAGAAATGTTGAAGATACAAGTCGGAATTTCACCTGTAATCATAGTCCAAGTGTTAAAGCTTAGTATTTTGTTATGAAAATCAAAGACGTTTTTATTTTCTAGAAATATTAAATTTTTAATCGTATTTGAACTCATTTATAAATCAAACTTAATATTTAGTTCGAGGGAAACAAAAATTCTGACATTTCGTATCTATTATGAATCGAAGTTTAAATAAAAAAAAATGTGTTTAAAAGTAAAAACTCATACCTTCTAGATTATTGACTCCCAAATATAATTCTTCGAGTCGTGTCATATTTCCCATGCTTCTTTGGAATGGTCCCACTAAATTTATTAAAAGATAGTGCCAAATTTCGAAGGTTGCTGCATTTGCCTAGAGTTGATGGGATATTACCGAATAATTCATTTCTATTCAAGTGAAGCACCTCAAGATTTGGAAGATGGACACACAAATCATCGGGCAAGCTTCTAGAAAGACTATTATCTTTAAGATAAATCCCTTTCAAAGAGGTAATTCTAAAGATGGAAGATGGAATCTGACCAAACAGTTGATTGGCTCCCAAATTTAAGATCTCTAAATTGGACATGTTGACAAGCCACGATGAAATCTCTCCATTAAGACTGTTGAAGCTTAATTGAAGGACCCTCAAACGATGTAGCTGTCCCAATTCTACAGGCAGATGGCCATAGAAATGGTTGCTGCTCAAATCAAGAGAACGTAGAAATGAAAGATTCCCAAGGTGTGGAGGGATGTTACCCGCAAGATCCATGCTTGTAAGATTCAAAGCTACAACTCTTTCATGGATGGAACCACAAGAAACACCAACCCACTTGCAAACAGAAGTAGAGGCCTTCCAGCTGTTAGCCAATATATTTTGAGCATCCAAAATGCCATCTTTAAAGTGGACAAGTGCAGACTGATCAGTGGTGAGATTCCTGACAGCTATAGCTGAGCAAACTATGAAACATCGTACCCACAAAACAGAAATTAGATGGGAGCATGGGTTGTACTTCATGATTTTGAGACGAAATAAGCCAAAGAAAAGAGAAAGTAGGAAGAGGGGATTTGAAGTTGGATGATGAAGAAAAGAGAATATGCTTAAATAGGTACAATTTCTGGTTTGAAATTTCTCTTTCTCCGGTGCATCCTTTTTTGCGTGCAATTCCAACGCAAATTAATTTAGAGTTGAGTCACCAAATGAAAGTGACCTGAGCTCCAGCAATTATCACTAATTCCATATTTATGGAATCTCCGAATGAAATAATCAAATGATAATATCGTATTTTAAATCTATATATACATCTAAAACACAACATAAAATATCACATGTTAAAAATATATATATATATATTTCAAATACTGAAATATCTCAAAATTTACATGATAGAAATTATTAAAATATTAAACTTTCTAAAAATATTACTTTAATTAGATGATACAACAAAGGACAATTATATAAATATAATTAGATTTTTTTATTAAAGAGGATAATTATTAAAAAATATATATATTTCTCTTTCTCCGATGAGCACCACCAACAGTGAACACCATTAATTTAATTTATAAAAATTTAAAATTCTAAAGGCACAACATATAATTATAAATTAGTTAAAAAATAAAAGATAAATTACTTAAAATAAGGGTAAACTATACCAGTGACCACTTAAGTATTGCTCCTTTTTATTTTGATCACCATTTTTTAAATTTTGTCAATAAGGTCGCTCAACTATTTAAATGCATTCGATTAAGCCACTCGCCGTGTAGTGTTTAAAAATATTTGGTATAATTACACATTTGGTCATTTTTACTTATTTATTCTATCAAATTGGTCCTAATTTTAATTTATTAAAATTAAATATTATATAAAATTATTAGATATATTTATAATTTTATTTTTTATAAAAGTATTTTGAAAATAAAGTATTTATTTAAAATATAAAAAATTAAAGAATTATGTGCCAAGGATTAGAAAAAAGGGATAAACATGAGATCAAAACATATATATTTCGGTTATGAAAATTCTGTGTTGTACATCATTTTCTCCAATTAATACCAAGTAAATTGCAAGAATAAAATGACTTAAACTGTTAAAGGGATGATTATTAACCTTAAAAGTTTTATGTTCAAGCACCATCGACTATATGATATTTAAATATTCATTATCCAATATTTAAATGTTCATTATCAAATAGTTTAAAGTCTCTAAAATATATATATTGTCACTTGTAATTACCCTAAATTAATAATAATAATAAACAATTCCAATTCAAATTATTTAGACATTCCAAATGTGAATTAATGAAGACGTTAAGACTTAGAGTCCAGTCACGAAATCAAAGTGGGAATATCACAATCATAATGGAATTACTTGCATACCCCATAGGCGTGGAATCTTCTCGCTAAATTTCCAGCAACATAACCGAATTTCTCAATCACAATTACTTGCATTAACATTTTAATATGAAATTTTACTAAGAAAAGCTAATTTGAAGAAGTTAAGAATTACCTATAAAAAAACTTTGATTATTTTTTTGGTTACAAATATTTAAAGGTGTATTTGGTTCGTTCATGTTCAAGAACGAGCTTGTTTATTTACTCATTTATAAACTCGTTTACTGGGTTGTTTTTTTTCTTTTACCTTTTTTTATATTTTAAATATTAGTGAAGATATATACTAAATTGAATACATTGTGAACTTTGAAGTTCAAGTAATTAAGCCTAAGGAGTTTGAGAACTAGTTATATAATTTCATCACCGTGTCAACATGTTCACAGACGTTAAGTGAATATGTTCGCGAACGTTAAACAAACATATTCGTGAATGCTAAACAACTATGTTTGTAAATGTTAAACAAACTGAATATGAACGCATTCAAAAACAAATAAACGAACACAAGTACTCACAAGCGTCGTAATTGTCAAATAATTAATCATTTTTATTGGATAATTATGCTAAGAACGTAATATATAGAAAAAGGGTGTCGGTCCATAGGGAGTCAGAAATTTCTAATATCAATCTAAATTGATGTTTAACCAATAAATCTATAAAATAAGAAAATTAAAAAGAGGGGTTTTAAAATAATCAAGTAAACTAAATAAATAAAATAAAACTAAAGTAAATTGATAGAAATAAGAAAGAAAAAATGCAAAATTTTAATTAAGATAAGAGATAGCCTCTAGCTTCACTTTGCCTTAATCTATCTTAATCACTGAAATAAATTTTACTTCGGATGCTTGCCAGTTATAGTCTAAAAGGCACAACCCTTGTAACTTGCTCTTCTCTCTATTGAACTAATTTCCAAAGTCAATCGTTGAAAATTAGCCCTTGTTTGGATTAATATCAACTATCGATATTAACACCAATGCTGGTTTAGGAACTAAAAAATCTCGCACTTAGATTATGGTGTCTTGATGAAAATCAAACCCTATCTTGGTTTCCCTAAGCAGACCGCCGCTAAGTTTGTTCTTACGGAATTGAATTTGCTACAAGCCGACTCTCCTCCCCAACTATAGATCACAATGCCGATCAAACCAATGTGCTCTATACACTCCTTGGATTGAAGATATTGAGATATTGAAGGAAGGTCGATTGCCTCTACTTGTTTGCAGAAAAATCAAGAAAGAAATATGAAGATGTTACGTAAAAGAAGATGAAAAAGAAAAATAATTTTATTAAACTAAAACCTAAAAACAAATGAAAAGCCAGAACCAATTCTATATTGAATTCTAAACTTGTACCCCCTCAAGCTTTACCCCGAGGGGTATTTATAGTCTTGAGTTAACCTAATGAAAATAAAATACTAACTTTTTGTCAACACCGTTTTACACCCTAGTGGGGAAAACCTCGTACCGACTTGGGGATTTTTATTTGAAAATAATTTTGAAATGTGAGGAGTCGCAACTAGTCATTTATGGTGCGATTGGGACACCATAAAAATTAGGTGATTTTAACAAAATATTTTATTTTTATCAAAATACCAAGTTTAAGGTCTACGAAAATCCAAAAATCAGGTTCAGGAGTCGATTACGCATGGGAAAGGATTAGCACCCCCACAAGCACCCAAAAATTGGTACCTAGTTGATTACCCTATATTTAGAATCAAAAATTTTGAGTTTGAACTTTATTTAATTTCAAAATCATTACAGGTGCAAAGCTGAAAAGGGTATTCATTTATTAAGGGCGATTGGGGGAGATAAGCTATTGTGCCCAATAATCGAATATTGCCTCGATATTTTAGAAATCATGATGCAGTTTTGAAAAAGATGTCGACATATTTCGGGAATCACCAGTAGTCACCCCCTGAGCATACTTGCGGTAAATATACTATTAATTCCCTAATAAGTTAACATTACCTTAGGTTTAAAAATAAAATGCAATCAAACAAATTTTTATTCATCCTAATTAAGCCAAGGGTAAATTAAGGCTCTCTCTCTATCCTAAAGTGACAAATTATGAGAATTAAAGGACCTAAAGGCACAAACCTAGAAATGTAGGTTCTAATATTAACCCTATTTGATTTTAAATCAGTTATTGAATCGAATAATCAAGATGGTCCTTTGAGCATTTAGGTAAGGGCTGACTCGAATTATTCCCTAAATTAAGAGGACTATATTGAAATCTAGCTAAAAGTGGATGCTCTATTTAACCTATTTGATTATGTTAATCTTAAAAGTCTAATTAAAGTTCAGGGACTAAAAGGGTGAAAGATCTAAAATACCAAGTTCTAAGAGACTAGAAGTTCAGGGGCCTAAATGAATAACTCCTAAAATTTAAGGACTAATCAAATCAAAATTGTAAATAAGATCTAAATTAACCTATTAAAATTTATGGGATTAAATTAAAAGAGTTTTAGAAAATTAGTCGATGATTAAAAATTTAAAAGTTTGAAGAATCGACTTGAGTAATCGGGCATCTTATGCAAAAACTCAGTTTAAATTGCTCCCTATTTAAAACTAAGGTGTCACCCTAATTACTAGATTCGATTAGGTTTATTAAACTAATCTAAGGAAGAAATCTAAAAAAAACTAATTA